ATTAAATACCAAAAATGGCCTGCACAAATATCTACAGCAGCAAAGATTACAGCAGAGCATCTGTGTTTCTTAAATGTTATGCTCCTCATTCACAGTGTGATATAGCAGTGGGTCCTAAAGTGCTGAGATTAATAAATAAAATTAATATTATAAATATTACACTAACATAGTTAATTCCTTATTGAAAGTCAAACCTGTATTCTGGCTGATTTTTCTTAAAATATTTTTAAGAAAAATCAGCCTCATGAAAGTCAGCCCCACTTGACAGAGTTAAATCTACAGTGCTGCTCATTAATGTTCTAAAGGTGAAAACTGGGTATTTATAGTATGCACGGTGCGCTGGGCCGTCTGTTGATTTGCATGTGTAAACACTTATCTGTGGCTCTGTACTTTCATCTAACAGCAACTGCAGAATGTCAACTAGAGGGCATCTGATGAATATCTCGTGCAATTATCCATTAATAATTTCATATTTTCCTATTATTTATACATTTTTACTTCCAGAAAAGAGATTATGTTCTGGCCCCTTTGAGCTAGAGACCACAGCTGGACAGCAGGAACAAAATTATTGTGACTGTTTGCAATGACCCTGCATGTCTTTGAAATGGTTGCTCTGAAGCAGGGACCAAGTCTGCAGAACAATTCTGGTGTGTCAGGACGGCGATAAAACAGAAGTACGATGGAGTCAGTTTATTTATCAGTGTGCAACTGAATATTGTTAAGATGGAAATTACACGCAATCTGTTTGTGATAATATGGCAATTAACGGCAACGAATCAGCAAGACCTGCAGATCTGTTGCCATGTGCATATAAAGAAATTCATATTAAACAGAAAATTGCATTAGCTGCTTATATTCAGAGTGCAGCCTGAACCTTAAAGAATTGAAACAAAAGAAATTCCAACACAGAGAGAAGTGAGTTAACTGCAAAATGACTTAGGAGGTCAGCAATGCTTTTATATTGGAATATAAGCTAAATAAATAACCAATAACCGAAATAAAGCCAGATGGTAACCAGCAGAATTGAGGCCCATTGTAAAGAGCCACGTTGCAGACTGTGTTTATCTATTAGATAGCAGTTCATTGCACACCTGTCTGAGAGTGAGTGCACTCGATCAGAGTTTGACCACGATTGTTTGAAGACAGGTAACCTGTGCAATCACCGTGCACTTTAAAATGAGGGTGGCTAAGAGGTTGCGGACTTTTTGGGCAACAAGAAGTTGGAACACCCTCAACTTCTCATGGACCGGTTGGTCAGTGCAACTAATTGCCAAAGGTTGCCAAAGCAAAAAAACACAAATGTTTCTTAGTTGCAAAGAAAAATTGCCAGAATATATTGATATTATATACATACATATAATATATAAATTACCTAACATACAAGTTCAAACTTGTGTGAATGAGCCATTAGTTTGTCTGTTAACAGTTGGCAGGAAAAACACCATTTTATATACAGTTCAAGCCTTTGTACAGACAGATGAACCTGTGACCTACTCCTCTCAGGCCGATGGGAGGGCAAACACAACCGTGCACTAAACTAGAGGATGGGAGCAAATGGAAATGCCACTGTGAAGCATTTGTGGTGATATGTTCTTACAGCTGAGGATGAAGGAAAC